TGCCAAAATTAAACCCAGAAAAACCGACCAAAGTTGGTCGGTTTTTAATAAAAAAAATAAATTATTCCAAAATACCGACCAAAGTTGGTCGGTTAATGAACATTGAATTCCCAGAATTCAACATTACCGACCAACTTTGGTCGGTATTTTGCCTGCACTATTGAGATTACCGACCATAGTTGGTCGGTAATGTTTAATTTTAATTAGTTTAAAAAATATATTTTTTCAATTATCGACCAAAGTTGGTCATTTTTTTTTAATTTTAATAATTAATAAAAAATATATAATTTAGTTAAACCGACCAACTTTGGTCGGTAAAATTAAATTAATAAAATATATTTCCGACCAAAGTTGGTCGGTAAGTAATTAAACTTGTCAGATGGTCGTTTTAAGCTACCAACCAAAGTTGGTCGGTAAGCCATTCCGACCATCAAAACACCGTCCACACCGTAATGGTCGCGTTTTGGTCGATAATTGGCCATAACCGACCAACTTTGGTCGTTTTTTTGATCGATTTTTAGCGAATTTCTAGTAGTGGTTAATTCTAAGAAAATATAATGAATTCAAAATAAAGAAGAATCACGAAGTACCTGATACGATGATACTCCTACTAATAAATATGAATGAGTCCTTGATTAACGCAAATTAAATTTTAAAAAGAAATAAAGAAAGCAGCAAAGTACAAATTTAAGGTACTTTTATAACAATAGATACAATTTTAAAAAGTCCTAGACATCGAACCTGTTGTGGTTGTGCTGTCTATTTGATGCAGCAAGCCAAAACAATTAAAAAAATGTCACAAGTGCGGTTCGATCCGTTGCCATTGAAGAGGAAACTTTGTGCCTCTATCATGTTGATACATATCCGGCCCCTTAAAGTTGTCACTAGTTTTCATTTAAGTACTTTAACTAAGGCATGTACTTATTCGACACTCTAAACCCCAACAACCCACAAAATATGCCAATTAGACACAATGTGTTGATATGGCAAGAACATTGTTTTTTACATCTCTTGAGCGCGTGAGTTGATCAAAAACCCTTTTTTTTAAACGTCATTTGTTTATGAAAATCACATCACCAACTTTAATCTCTGAACCACCTTTAACTATCGCCGAAGAACTCACAGATCATTTCACTTGGAGCCATTGCAGGCAATTATTGCTGACAAGCTTAACGTAATCTCAACTTTTGTTGTTTAGTTCTAACAACCTTTCATAAACTGCAGAGTTCTTCAAAGAACACTTGGAAACAGTAGGAGAAGACATTGTCAATGTTGTACTACAATTATTTGATAATGGTAAACTGTTGAGAGAGGTTAACTGTACCACAATTATATTGGTGCCCAAAGTGTCTAATCCTACTTATGCCAAAGACTTCAGACCTACAGCATGTTGTACCACTGTTTACAAGATAATTGCAAAGCTGCTAACTGCCAAGTTAAAGATTGTAGTTGATTATTTGGTGGGGCCATCCCAGTCTGCATTTATTGAAGGAAGAAATATCCTGGACAATGTGATTCTGGATCATGAGCTTGTGAAAGGTTATGCAAAAAGGGAGTATCACCTAGATGCATAGTGAAGGTGGATATCAGAAAGACATATGATTCTCTGAATTGGGATTTTTTGAGATAAGTTTTGCTAAAATTTGGAATCCCTCGGAAGATAGTAAACCTGATCATGACTTGTGTATCCACAGTTAATTACTCCATACTGTTGAATGGTGGCCTAACCCCTATATTTCAAGCTAAGAGGGGATTGAGACAAAGAGATCATATGTCCCCATACATGTTTTTCTTGGCTATGAAGTATCTAAATAGATCCCTGAAGCAACTCAGACACAATCCTGATTTCAACTACCATCCCAGGTGTGCTAACAAGGGAGTAGTGCACATCTGCTTTACTGATGACCTATTAATGTGTTGTAGGGCGATCAAATGTCTATTTCCCTAATGATGCAAGCATTCAGTTATTTCTCTAGTGTATCTGGACTGAAAGTCAATTTGGAGAAGAGTTCCTTCTCTATTGCAGGAGTGATACAAGAGTTTAGTTCTTAGATAATGCAAGAGATGCACTTCTCTAGGGGAGAAATGCCATTTAAATGCCTGGGGATTTCATTGTCTTCTAAAAAACTATCTATACATCAATGCCTTCCATTAGTTGAAAAGATCATTGCAAGAGTTAAATGTTGGACTACCAAATTTTTATTATATAGTGGCAGAGTACAACTCATCAAAAATGTACTCTTTGAGATGCAGACATACTGGGCACAAGTGGTCTTATTGAGTATGGTAACAAATATTTGCAGAAATTTCTTGTGGACTAGTAGTAACGAATACTCAAGAGGGCCCTAGTTGCTTGGAGCACTGTATACATGCCTAAGGGGGAATTGAACATTTTGGACTTCTTTATCTGGAACAAAGCTGCAATTTGCAAGCTATTATGGGTTGTGGGTAAAAAGAAGGAAAAGTTATGGGTACAGTAGATCCATATTATATATATAAAAGGAATATACCTACCTAGCATGCCTATCCCAAATCAAGCTAGTTGGATAGTTAGGAAGATATTTGAGGCAAGGAAATAGATGACTCAATCTGGAAATCCATTAGATGATCTCAAAGCATGTGAGGAAAGAGGGAAGTTCAGTATCAAGAAGGCATATCAAACCTTTATGCCTCAACTCGAGAAAGTTTCATGAAAAAGCTTGGTCTTAGCTAAAGGAATTGTTCCTAGACACCACTTCATTCTATGGCTGACAATGCATAAGAAGTTGTCCATTATGGATAGACTTCACAAATAGGGAATTCAAGTGGAATAGGAATGTGTCTTATGTAATACCATTGTAGTGGAGATATTGGAGCATCTTTTCTTTGATGGTGGCTATTCAAAGTTCATATGGAGCACACTATTACATTGGCCAGGGGAAAGGAGACCAATCAGAAGCTGGGAAGAGGAAATCGAATGGATAGCTAGAAGAACTAATAATTCTAGAGCACTAGCAAGCATCATTGGATTTCTGTTTGCTGCAAGTGTCTACCAGATATGGTCTGAGAGGAATGGAAGAATATTCAACAATCAACGAAGAGAGAGAAGACAACTGATAAAAGAAAGTATACTTCAGTTGCACGCTTATGGGCAGAGACAGAGACGGTGGCGCCAACAATTGGATTGTTTAAATAGTTTCCCAATATAACACTAAAATATAAAGTTGTTTCATGATAGTGTCAGTAGTAGATTAGATGGTTGAATAGAGTACATGTAGAATAGTTCTAAAATTTATGAATACTGAGATTTGACTCTGGAGTCCAAAGAGTCAATTGTACATATTGATATACTTGGTTAAATAAAATGTTCAGTTTAACAAAAAAAAAAACCTTTCATAAACTAAAGACCACTATTTTTCAACCCCTAAAATACCATCTTCAACTAGATTTTTAAACTGGCGTCCTAGTCAACTCAGTCAAGTGAAACCACACCACTTATTTCCCATCTTATGAAAACTTTGATTCTTTACCTATCAAATATTTATAGTTTTGAGTGGATTTAATCTGACTGTATTATTCCTGATCGTGGTAGTTAAGGTGTTACTCCTATTTTGTATCGTTATCATATCACCACCAATATTTTAAAAGATTTAAATTAAAACCAGTAAAATACTTAAATAGCAATTGAGCTTAATTGTTTACCAAATAAAAATAGAAGATAAGTGTTGGGTGATGAATGTGATCAAGAAAAGGGGAAATGGATATTTTGTAGTGTGAAATATATTTTAGAAGGAAAAAAGGAGAAGGTAAAGCTTCGAATTTTGGACGTAAATTTAGAAAAAAAGGAAGGAAAAAATAAAATTGTGGAAGAGGAAAAAAGAAGAAAACTGAAGAACAAAGAACGAAGAAGACGAATGGAGGGGAGAGGACCGATGAGTCAGGACCAATCAGGGGATCCAAAGTTGTTAGGAAGAGAGAGCGCTTTTTATATTTCCACGTGGCTCTCGTTTATTTGTCTGATTTGCCATGTCATAAGCAATTGTTGTCACGCCCCTGAACTTATTTATGTACATTGTGTGAAGTGTTTAATTGCACCTTATACTTGCAGAAATTGAGCTATGTTTTATTAGAGCATAAGTTAATCACCTACTACTTAACTGCTTTGACCAAATCTTTAGTTAGTAGTTAGAATTTTGTTAGTCCTTTATTTTCTCTAAATCTCCTTATTCAAGGAGTTTGTTTAGCAAGTAGTTTAGTCTTCCTCTTCCAGAGGAGTTAGTTCAGGGAATTGGTTTTTCATTCTTGTATTTAAAGGTTTCTTTGATTCAATAAACATATCAGCATTTTATGCTTCTCTTGTTCTTATATGGCATCAAGAGCCTCAACAAACTCTAACGAGTAAGATACTATCCTTTTTCTCTCTCACTCACCCTCCACAAATGGCCAACACTACTGGAGTTGTCAATGCTGATAACAATTGTGGTGTGATGGTCGTCCAATTTAATCCTACGTCATAATTTCCCATAAAATTACAAGGCAGTCACAACTTTGCAACTTGGAAGGCGTAATTTTCCATGCTTATGCATGGTCATGATCTTTATGGTCATCTAGATAGGTCTACTCCTGCTCCATCTCGCACTATTACAACTGGCAAAGTTCTCACTGCCAATCCTACATTTGCTCTTTGGTTTCGTCAAGACCAACTCATTCAAAATACACTTATGGAATCTGTTGATCCAACAATTGCCACTACTGTTGCAGCTGCCGATTCTGCAAAAAAAGCCTAGGATGTATTGCACACTGCATATGCGAACAAGTCCCAAACCAGAATTTTCAGTCTTCGCGATCGACTTGCGCGACTCACAAAAGACTCCCAACCAGTCACTGAATATTTGCAAAATATTCGATCCATGGCTGATGAACCTGTACTGTTGATGCCCCTGTCACAAACTTTGAACTCATTGTTAAGATCCTGAATGGTCTTGGACCAGAGTTTCGTGAGATTTCTGCTGCANGATCCATGGCTGACGAACTCTCTACTGCAGGTGCCCAGTCACAAACTCTAAACTCATTATTAAGATCCTGAGTGGTCTAGGACTAGCATTTCGTGGTATTTCTGTTGCAACCCGTGCTCGTGACTCCACTATTACGTATGAATAACTCTATGAGAAGCTTCTTGACCATAAGCTTTTCCTTAGACATGGAGAGTCAAAGAAAGCTTCTAACCAGATTACTGTTGCTGTTGCTTCATTCAACAAATCTGGAAACTCGAACAATCATCGCTCCAACAATAACAATGGCAGCAACCAACAATGGTGATACAACAATCGCTTCAATTTACAGAATTAGGGGTGATCTTCGGACACCAATAACTCTTATGATGGTGTTCGCTGCCAGTTGTGCAACAAACCAGGTCATGTTGCAAGTGAATGCAAATCCAAATCTCACAATCATTTTGAGGCCAAGGCAAACTATGTTTTGGGAATGCACGCATCAGCAAATCCTTGGATTCTCGACTCTGGACCATCTCACCACATAACTGATAATCCTCACAACTTGCAGGAATACAATGGCATGTAGCAGGTCTCAATGGGTGATGGTAACAAAATACCAATAACTCACACTGGTTTAACTCAATTACATGCATCAAATAATATTTTTAAACTCTCTAACACTCTCTGTGCTCCTAGCATTAAACGCAACTTACTCTCTTCAAATCTCTAAATTTTGTCAAGATAACCTAACCTCTATTGAATTCTTTCCGTTTTATTTTTCTGTGAAGGACCTGGAAATACGGAATCTGTTGGTGCACGGTCGGAGTAGAGACGGTCTCTATAAGTGGCCAACATCACCTTCCATATCCTCTCCTAAAGCGCATTTGGTCTCTACCAACACATCCATCTTCAACTGGCATCGATTGGGTCATCCACACACAAGAGTTTTAAATTTTGTTTTGAATAAATTTTCGCTACAATGATCGCGAGGCAAATTTTTTGTTTGTAATTCTTGTTCATCGAATAAGGCTCATCGCCATCCTTTTCAGAATCTTATTTTATCAAGTACCAAATCGTTTCAACAATATTTAGTGATTTATGGGGTCCTTCTCCGGTTTTATCGATTGACAAAAAATCATACTACTGTATTTTTGTTGATCAATACACCAAATATACTTGGCTATATACATTAAAAATAAAAGTGAGGTTAAAGACCTTTTCAAAACTTATCAAGCATTAATGGAACGTCGTTTCAATACAAAAATTCTTTCTATCTATATAGATGGTGGTGGAGAATATAAAAGTCTCGATCCATACCTAATTTCTCAGGGTATTGATCATCTTTTATTTTCCCCATACACCCCCCCTCNCATGAAGTTTCGCTTCCACCGACTCTTTGGTCTTTTACTTGTCAACATGCGGTTTATCTTATAAATCGCTTGCCAACCTCACTTTTACAAAATAAATCATCTTTTCAAATATTATTTGGTAACGATCCATATTATAATTCTTTAAAATTTTTTGGGTGTCTATGTTTTCTCTGGTTCACACCCTATTCAAAAAATAAATTAGAGCCACGGTCAACACCTTGTGTTTATTTAGGTTAATCTTTAAATTGTTATTGTCATCAATGTTTTGATCCGAAATCTTCCAAAATATATTTATCTCGAGATGTAAACTTTTTTGAAAATAATTTTCCTTTTCAGAATATATTTTCAAATATTTCCTTAAATTTTAAAACCCTTATGTGGGAAAACCTAACTGAAACTAACCCAACAAAATCTCCTATTTTTTCTCCTCCCATAATCAGTGAATTACCCAACCTTATACTTATTCCAAATACATAAACCAACACTCAAAGAAAAAATATTGTCTCCTCTGCCTGTGCTCTAATACAATCTGCAACTCCAGGTACGTCTTTTACTTCTCCTTCTACAAATTCTGTTGTTCCTCCTGATATTAATGATACCCAATCGTATCCCCCGTTGCCATCCCCAACAGTTATCCCAAGAAATTCAAATGTCTCCTCTCCTCCACAATCACTACGTACATTATCACCACTCCCTTCCTCAACACCTATATATTCTCAACAACCATTCACCTCAGTCCCACAGCCTCAATCACCATCTTTTTCAATTGTATACAGTCGCAGAAAGACAAAAATGACATCAACTGGCCAAACATTGTTGCTCGTACCACTGCTTCAACTCCGCAACCCTCACAATATTCCCCCGAACCCCTTCCAGTCATAGAACCACAACCACCTTATCTCCCTCCTCCAAATCGCGTTGTGACTCGTTCACAGAATAACATTCACAAATCGAAAATAATCCTTGACTTCATGGCTCACTTATTCCCCACCATCACCCCTACTAGTTTTAAACAAGCTAACAAACACCCGGAGTGGCAGAGAGCAATGAAAAGTGAATTTGATGCATTATTGAATAATCAGACATGGAATTGGTACCACACGACCCCACAAAAAATATTATTTCTTGCAAGTGGTTATACATGTTAAAGAGAAATGTTGATGGGATAATTGATCGCTACACGACTCGTCTTGTTTCAAAGGGGTTTACACAACGCCCTGGAATTGACTTTCATGCCACATTTAGTCCGGTTGTCAAACCGACTATGGTGCGCTTGGTGCTTTCGATTGATGTCCAGCTGAATTGGCCCATACGTCAGCTTGATGTCAACAACGCATTCTTGCAAGGTCACCTAAAAGAAGAAGAAATATACATGGTCCAACCTCTGGGTTTTGAAGATGAGCAGTTCCCCTCACATATATGTCGCCTAAAGAAAGCTATATACGGACTCAAGCAAGCTCCTCGGGCCTAGAACAATGAACTTAAGACGTTCCTTCTCTATTTGGGATTTGTCAAGTCCGAATATGATGCATCGCTTTTCATTCGCAAAGTGTCGAACAACAAGCCATACCTCATATGTAAATCAGGCTATCTATTGTCTTGTTGGCCGTTCTTCCATTAAGGATCTCAGAAACCTTAACTTTTTTCTTGGAGTTGAGGTGTTTCGTGTTGCGGATGGAATTACTTTATCACAATCCAATTACATCAGTGAAATCCTCTCTGAAGAAAATATGAAAGACTACAATTACGCAAAAACTCCAATGAGTTCCAATGAAGTGGTTAAACAAAATGATGGAGCGGAACCAACTGATGCTACTTGCTACAAGAGAGTTCTTGGAAAACTACCATACATGTCGTTCACTCATCCAGACATAAGTTTCTCTGTGTACAAATTGTCACAATTTATGCACTCCACATCTGAAGTACACTGGAAAGCATACAAACGAGTACTCAAGTATCTTCAAGGAACAATTCAGTTTGGTCTTCGCATTCAAAGAGATAATGATTTCAAGCTACACATGTATTCTGATCCGGATTGGGCTGGAGATGTGAGTGATTGAGCCACCACTACTGGTTACATACTGTTTTTTCGCCAAAATCTTGTGAGCTGGTCATCCAGGAAACAAAGAACAATTTCTCGGTCATCAACCGAAGCAGAGTATCGAGCGGTTGCAAGTATACTTGGTGAAACAAATTGGGTGACGAATCTGCTAAATGAACTACATGTTTCACTTCCACAAGCATCAACCATTTACTGTGATAATGTTGGTGCACCTTATCAGTGCGAAAATCCAGTATTCCATAGCCGCATGAAACACATTGCGATGGACTTTCACTTTGTCCGCAAGCAAGTCCAACAAAATTAAGTTCACATTGTTCATATTCATACTGCAGATCAGCTCACGGATACTCTCACCGAAGCACTACCAAAGCCAGCCTTTGACAGACACTTATTCAAGCTAGGCGTAGTTACACATTGCCTAACTTGAGGAGGCGTATTAGAGCATAAGTTAATCACCTACTACTTTACTGCTTTGACCAATTGTTTAGCTAGTAGTTAGGATTTTGTTAGTCCTTTATTTTCTCTAATAAATCTCCTTATTCAAGGAGTTTGTTTAGCAAGTAGTTTAGTCTTCCTCTTCCAGAGGAGTTAGTTTAGGGAATTGATTTTTCATTCTTGTACTTAAAGGTTGCTTTGATTCAATAAACATATCAGTTTTTTGTGCTTCTCTTGTCCTTATATGTTTGATCCCTTTTCGCTAAATCAGTTCTTCAAGGAGTCTCTTTTTCATCGGATATCTGAAGTGACCTTCTAAGTCAGTCTGCACTCTCGATCACCGCCCCTTCCCATTTAGCTTGAAAAGTATCAATTCTGAGTTGAAGATAACAATTACTACAAAGAAATAGCCTAACGTAAAGGATTGATTATTTTCTTTTGGGGTCAGTTTATGCTATCTTTTTCTTATTGTTTAATGTTTTTATTTTGGGATCTCCTTATTGTTCATTTTCTGTTTGATAGTTCTTTCAATTTTTGTTGTTTCGTTTGGTATAGGTGTTGTAATCATGTTGCATGCATCTATTTCTTTCTCGTGAATGCCGTCTCCCCAAATTTCTTTGGTATTTACATCTATTCTTCTTCTATCCCTGAAATAATATCCTTTGCTGCCTCTGATTCCCCTTGGATTCTATTTTCGTCTTCCCTTTTAATGGGCTTTTCTTCACAATTTTTTTAAAATTCTGAGTTTTTTCATTTTTAGTGATTCTTCACCTTTGTTTTTGACGTGATTTTTTGCATATTTGCTGGATTCTCGTGTTTAGGCATTTACCTTTACTTCGAGATGAAAGTAAATCAATTGTAAAGACGAGATACAATGAGGGAGCAGAGGAGACTTCATATCTCAAAAATGTATATATCTGCGTGGGAAATTGCAATGTAATTGTAGTGCAGGTAACCCCGAGGTTAACATTGTATTTTATCATATCTAGCTTTAAGTAAACATTGTTTACTCGTTTTCTTATGTTTATGTCTTGAGATAAATACTGGAATTAGGATGTTTGGAGTTTCCCCATTTCTGCAGCATTCCTTTTCTTTAACAATTTTTATACCTTAATAAATTATAAATGCAATGAATTACCATATTTTAAAGGGAAAGGGTAAAAAAGACCCCCTACTAGGAGAAAAGGTTTATTTATGTCATCCGTTATACTGTCATTCCACTGTTGCCCCCGACGTTATAAAATTAGTGCAAAAATATACCCTCCACCATGGCCAACATCATCCTACATGGCCTGACATTTTGTTGAGATGGACGGCACATGACATGCCACCTTACCATCTTCTCCGCCACTTCTTCTTCTACCACCATCTCCCAGTTCCCCAACAGCCATTGGGTATATGATGTTTTGGACAAACCCGCCTATACATTTTGACAAAATAACTTAAAACCCTCTTAAACTTGACACGCATTATTGGCTACATCTTTGAACTAACTATGGTCTTAATTACCCTCTATACTTGATTATTCGATAGTTGTTACCCCATTGGACGATCTCATCCCAGGAAAGTGGCGTGCACTCGCCTGCCACATGAATTTTTCTGTCTGTGGCATTTTTAAAAAATAAAATATTTTTTTTTTACTTTTTTAAGTATGTTACTTTTTTAGATAAATTATTTTCAAATAAAATTTATAATAAAACTTAGCTAGAACTACATTATTTAGGCTAATTTATTTTTTTGGCTAAAAATAATAAAGTTTTAGTTATTCCTTTTTGAATTTGACCTGAAAATAAAGATTTATACAATTGAAATAAATAGTCAAGGCATCTAAAAAGTTATAAAAAATACATAGTTTGAACTTTATTATTTTGACTATAATATATAGCTCTAAATTATGGTGCTCTCAAATTTATTTATTTTTACAAATTTTACCTGAAAAAGTAAAAATACACAGTTGAAATTAAGGGTGGCAAGTGGGCCGGTTCAGGTCCGGGACTGGCCCGGGACCGCGGGCAAAACGGGCCAGGACCATTTGGCCCGGTTTTAGTGGGCCTGGGCCGGTCTCGTGGGCCGGTCCTATGATTTGGGCACGCCAGGACCGGGACCATTTAGCCCGCCAGGGACCGGGCCCGGACCGGTCCCTTAGCCGGCCAAACGGTCTCAACGGCTATTTTGTTTTTTAAAGTATAGTCGTTGGGCTGTCAAAAATAGTCGTTGGTTATTTATAAAATAGCCATTTAACCCCCTCCCCCCTCCCCCAACTTTGTTTTAATCCCAAACTTATTATAATTACACTTTTTTCCTATTTTCAACTATAAATACCCCCTCATTCTTTCACTTTTTCTTACAAAATCATCAATCTATCACAATGTCTCTCTAATTTTCTTCTATAATTGCTACTATTTCTTACTTAATTGTTACAATTTGTGAAACAATTGTGAAGTTGGTGAATTGAAGCCTTCAACGATAATCAATTTTCAACAAGTTGTTCGTCAATTCGGTAAACTCGTTCCAACTCTTAAGTTTTAATATTATAATTTTGTTTGTTTTATTTATTTTCTATTACTTTATTAATTAAGATAGCTTCCTTAAAAAAACGTTTTGGTAAAAATAATGTAAAATTCAAGAGTGACGAATCTAGTGCTCAATCTGTTCCTCCTCCACTGCCCCGGGCTCCCCGAATCAAACTTCATATCTGTCCTACACCTGCTATTCTTGATAGAGATAATAGTTTATTACTGAAAGTCAATTTTGCCATAATATTAGAGTTGGTGAACAATTAGACCATGAATTAATGAACGCTCTTTATTCTAATCTAACTATTGATGAAAATGATGACGAGGAAATATATTTTGATGAAACTCAACCAGATGATGATACACCAACTAGTCATGCTCCTGATGTTAACCCAACTAGTGATAACCCTGCTAATCCAACTGATACCCCATCTGATACTCCTATTACTACCCCTATTTCTTTCTTGACAACCTAGCAAACGGACGAAAACATCTACCGTTTGGCTATTTTTTACTCAACTAATTTCAGAAAATAAGGCTAAGTGTAAAACTTGCGATAAGGAGTTAGTTTTTAAATATTTTGGATCGCGGGGGGGAGGGGGGATGGGAACTTTGGCTAGACACATATTGAAACACCCTCAAGATAGAGTGAGATATCTTCGTCTGAAAGCTTTAGCCGAGGGGAAAAGTCTACCTACTCCTAGTCAGGTTGACCCTAGTACCGGTTCAAATCAATTTCAACCAGGAATTAACACTGTTACCGGTGATATTTTATATTATGATCTAAAAAATGATCGGGAAGAATTGGAAAAAATGGTAATTGTTATGTGTTTACCCTATAGTTTTCCTTCTGACCCTAACTTTGTGCATTATATTAGAATTGTTTTTAATCTTACTTATAAAGGTTTTCCTTGCACAACCGTAAAGAGCGATATTTATAAATATAAATATAAATATGAACAATATTTGCGCTATTTATTTACTTATATAAATTGTCGTGTTGCTATTACAACTGATATTGGTAGAAGTGGTAACGACTGTGATTACCTTACTGTTATCAGTCATTGGATTGATGAGGATTGAATAATGCAAAAGCGCATTATTTCTTATAGAATAATTAATTCACGTCACACAGGGCAGTTTATTGCTAGCACAGTTATAAATATTTGTAGATATTTTTGCATTAGTGATAAAATAATATCAATTTCAATGGATAATGCTACTAGTAATACAAATGCTATAGCCTTGCTTACCACTACGCTAAATCTTGCATTTAGTGATATTTTACATGTTAGATGTATTTGTCATATTTACCATTTAATTGTGGGTGATGGTATGAGAATTTTAAATATTGAAATTGAAAAGGTTAAAATGGCTCTTAACTAGTTTTTTTATTCAAATCGTAGAAGTAGACTTAGAGAATATTTTAAAAGATGCGATGAATTTGGCCTAAGAGAAAGAAAGGTTCCTAAACCTTGTCCAACTAGATGGAATTACATGTATGAAAGTTTGGTTATTGCATATGAATAAGGAAATCTCATAAACTCAACATTTAATGCACATGTAAGTGATGATGATGAGCACCTTACAAATGGGGATTAGGCTAATGTTACAATACTTGTAGATTTCATATTGCTACAAATTAATTTTCTGGGTAATATTATCCTACTATTTCTAACTGTTTAGTTTATATTGCAGAACTTGCAAATTTGTTTGCTCGTTTTTCAGAGGGTGGGGAAATTTATAAACTTGCTATTGATTCTATGAGAAAAAAGTATAAAAAATATTTTTCCCTATTCCCCCTATTTATGGTGTTTCTGATTTGTTAAATCCTTGTATGAAATTAGGAGGTCCTCATTTTTGGTATGAAACTGTTTATAATGGTTTAGCACTTGAAGATGAGGAATTGTTTCAACTTCCGGAAGCAATAGCCTCAATTAGAATAAATGCTCAAACTATTTTTAATACTTATCAAGTTGCATTAAATCATGCTAGACCAAATGTTCCAACTCCTTCTTCTTCTGATTCTCAATCATCTAAAAGAACTGCGGGAGTAAGAGCACTTAGTGCTTAGGCGAGGTGTAGGGGTTCTCAAGGTTCTAGTAGTAGTGATTTTTCACAACTAAATGAGCTTGAAGTTTATTTGTCGCAGGGAATTGAGGAAGTGAATCCCGACGACTCCTTTTGTAATGACCCAACCAGTCATTTTAACTTTTAGAACTCCGTTCCCTAAAATAAAACTTTTTGTAAGTGCTTATAATGATTTATGACTTGCGGGGATGGTTGGTTCGGGATTTGGAAGTGTTTGAGGTGAAACCGAAACACTTGGTTCCTTAAGTTGGCCTTGATGTGTTAAGTTTGACTTCGGTCAATATTTTTAGAAAACGACCCCGGAATAGAATTTTGATGATTCCAACAGCTCCATATGGTGATTTTGGATTTAGGAGCAT